TAAAATAGAACTTTGGCTGAGGAGCAGGCGGTGGCGGTGGCAGGCTAGAATGTCACACAAAGGCAACTCGGAAAAGGAAAAGTGCACACCCGGACCAGAAAACCAGTTGTTTTGAAAGGAGACATATGGGCTGGGCGCAGTGGCTCACGCCTGTAATCCCAGCACTTTTGGGAGGCTGAGGCGGGGCGGATCACGAGGTCAAGAGATGGAAACTATCCTGGCCAACATGGTGAAATCCCGTTTCTACTAAAAATACAAAAACTAGCTGGGTGCGGTGGCTCGCGCCTGTAGTCCCAGCTACTGGGGAGGCTGAGGCTGGAGAATCTCGTGAACTCAGGAGGTGGAGGTTGCAGTGAACCGAAATCATGCCACTGCACTCCAGCCTGGCGACAGAGCAAGACTCTGTCTCAAAAAAAAAAATAAATAAATAAAAAATAAAAAATAAAAATAAAAATAAAAGAAGACATACGGAATATTGGATGTGTGGGCAGGGGAGTGAAAGAGGAAGCCAAAAAAGTAATTCACATGGATAAATGTCCATATGTAAAAGAAAATATCTTGGTCTGATTCCAATTTCACTGTCCCAAGGAGGAATGTACATACTTATTAGGGTCAACCCCTATGCACTGTGGTTAGAATTTTAGGTGCCGTATCAGGTGGGCATGTGGAGGTGTCTGAAGACAAGCAGCCTGCCTGTTGCTCAGCCAGTCCTCTGTACACATTAGGTGCTTAGGAAATGTTGCTCCATATGTCACCAACTCGCTTAAAGTCAGATCTTTGAGAAGTGGGGAGAGGAAGTTCAAATTAAACCTTTGGTAACACAGATTTTATTGATTGAATCTTCAGGGGCCGCAGACAGGTGCCTGATGAACTTTAAATTAAACTCTAAATTTCTAAAACTTTGCTGCATACATACATAAATTACAGTGCAGCTTGCATACCTAAGAGAGATGGTTTTGCTTTTTTAAAAAGATGTTTTCAGAGTTAGAAGAAAGAATTCCTTTAACTACCAATCCCAGAAAAGGGGATTTTGATTTGGTCACACGAAGGTGAATGTTTAAAAAGTAGAAACGAAACTTTCCCTACTCCCAAAGGAAAAGTAATCCCGGAGAGTCCTGTAAGAATGGGTGCCTTCTGTAGTAAAGTCCTTTTTTAAGGATAAGGATTAGCAAGGGCTCACGTGCCCAATTTAGACCCAAAACGAAGTGGGGGCAGCACACATCAAAAATGAGAACCCTTTATAGCAGCTCCTTTTTGTTCCAGGAATCCTCCTAGAGCAAAGGATTTCTTGAGTCATTCCCTCAGCCATAAAAACCTTACCGCTATTCTCAGTGAAGAAAAAAGTAAAAAATAAAGGGAAATCTAAAATAGCTCTGGTGGGCGCGGGGTGCCATCACTGTAGAAAAAAAATCAACGATTGAAAAAAATTAGATTTCAGCAGTATGTGAGAGCTAGAACTAAGGTGAGGAAAGAAGGGTATGGCAAAGGGAGAAGGAAGAGTTGGGGAATCACACTATCTGGCGACAGAACCACCTCCTTCCTGGGCCAAATGTTTGAACTGTACTTCCTGACCTTAGTTTCCAAATATTCTTAGGCTATGTCAAGGCTGTAGCTGGTGCACTATCCAGTCCCACGGTGACATCAGTGCTGGAACCAGCCAGGGTGAGATGCTCCCTATCCTAAGCCACTCAGAAAGGAAATGTACATAGCATGATGGATCTCCCCCAAAGACTCTGATCACATATTTGTCAGTCTTGGAGCTCTGTGGCCTTGTCTCAGCAGTTCCTTTTTCCCTTGCGCTAAGATCTTTTCTGTGAGAAAAAGCTTTAAAAATAAAATTTTAAAGAACAGTAACATGTCCATTTTTTTTCTTAATGTCTTCAAAATGCAGATGATCGAGTTTCTCATGAGCTCTTATGTCATTTTCCCCTGACAGACTTCGATCCCCAACTTCATCTGTACTGCATTTCAACAGACTGTCTCTAACCCCTGCTAGACTGTCTTCTTGGTACTTGCACAGAATAGACATCCAATGCAGATTTGCTGAATGGATTATTGTTATGGGTGCACGATATGAGCTGTGGGTAACAGAAAACTCTTCTGAAGTCAAAGCATGGGAGATGAAATAACTTTTCACGGGCTTTGAAACAGACTAATGGAATGAAGAACTGTTTGTAAGCAATTTTATTCTAACAATACAGTTTTGATTTTGATTGACATACAATACAGGTTTTAATGCAGGTGAGGCTAGCATTTACGTGTTAAATACTTCATATCCCATGTATTAAAAGGTTTAAGGTATTCAAGGATTCATGTGCAGAATATTGCTTTTCAATTTATTTTTAACACGCTACCAAATACCCAAGCCAAGATATATGGTATGGGAAAATTGAAAATATTAAATTTTATAAAACAATGTCTAAATTTTTCCAGTATTTATCTCAAGGATTATCTATCTTGACCTGGGAGAAACTTTTTTATTCTACAAATTTAGCTTTTCTATTAAATATATTTGAATAAATGCTTCAAAGTATATGGCAAATCATTACCTGTTTTTGTATCTATTATATTTATATTGCTTGTACATATTTTTTCAGGGCCTCATATGTTGATTTCTGGAGGATATAAATTTTATCTGAAGTTTAATTGGCCTTTTATAAGCACCATAGATAATGATGCCCAACAGTAGAAAAGATCAGGGAAAAATCATTGTACTCGACCGTATTTCTTGGACATATTTTCATGCCGGCTTTAAAACCATTCTAACTTCTAAACATAAGATATCCACAACCTATTTTATATAAACTTCCCCTTTTCCCCTTTCATCCTCTATCCTCCTTAAGAGACTCTCAATCCTCACATTCTTCTCTCCTGACTCTCCTACATACAACCCTGCAACAAAATGACCTTTTGTAAAATTCCAAAGGGTAAGGAATCTCCAAGTGGGGTGAGCCAAACTATCATTTTCTCTCTTCCAGAAAGAGATTTCATTTCATGCTTTAATTTTGGGCCAACTGACCTAGCATTTCAGATTTTTAAAACCTTTGGCAACTTGCCTTCCTGGGCTCATCTAAAATATTCTCTCTACCCCTCCAACAGATTTTTCTCTTGCAAGTCGAGGGGAGAAAAAAAATGCAGTGGGAATAGCGTGGGAAGGAAAAGTGTAAGGACATACAGTTGACACAAATCTAAGTTTTAGCCTTTGGGCCTTTCGAGTCATTAGGTCATCTGGGGAAAAAAGAATCATAAACAACCCTCCCCACACAACCCCTAAAGAAAAGTCACCATAGAGAAGGGCTCTCTTTGATGAAGTAAGGTGAAAGTCTCTCGGGACACCGTGGAGCAAAAAAAGGGTAAATACAGAGAGAGCAAATCTGAACAGTGGCTTCTAATTCCAGCTGACTTTCACTTCAGCACTTCTGCAATCTGGGTTCATGGGTTCCTCTATGCTTTAGACAACATTTTTGGAATCATGAGGAGAAAATATTTAAAAAATTAAAATCTGTGCGTACCAAAAAATTCACTTTTAAAGGCTTCTCTGATAATTTTCTCGGATGAAATATTTCTGGGATATGCCTATCTTCTGGGGTAGGTAAAAGGGAAAAAACAGAGGTGGAGGAAAAAACAGACACACATAAAGGAAGGTGGGAAAATGTTATTTGTTGAAGCTAGATTATGTGCATATGGAGTTCAAAATACCTCTCTACTTTTGCATATACTGTATTTGAAAATTCCTATAATTTCAAAAAGGTAAAAAGGTTATAAACTATGATCCATAATTTTATCTTTAGTATAAATCCTTTTAAAATATGTATGAAATGGAGTCAGTATTATTAATTTTAGCTGTTGATTAGAACCACTTTGTTTTTCCTTGCAATAGGTTTTATGTTCTACTCAAAAGGATGGGTGCAATTGTGTAATACACATAGGACCATAAAACTACACTTATGTATATCCTGTCTCTCTCTCTCTCTCTCTCTCACACACACACACACACACACACATGTTCCCTGTCTCTCTCTCTCTCTCTCTCACACACACACACACACACACACACACACACACACCCCTTACTCTCAGCAATGGAAAGGAGGTGTGCTAGAGTATCTCGTATAATTCAATAGACAGGCTAATTTTATAGAAAAATCTTACATAGTGCTACATATAAGTTATGAGTTAATGGGTGCAAATTTTTACCTATTTTGAGTTTTCCATACCATCAAATCTCCTGAAACAGCTTATCTCTACAGCATCAAAGTTTATCTTGAATAGTTATACTCATCATATCTTTTGAATGTACTTAAAAAATGCTTAGAGTTGGAATTAAAATAATACAATCAATAATTACCATTTAATGGGCATTTATGCTACAGGCCCTATGACAGTATTTTCATATATACTGTCTTTCCTTCCCCACAGCAATGGTATGAGGAGGTATCATCACTATCAATACATCTGAATCAGGGAGGTTAAAAAAAAAAACCCAATGGTAATGGGTAGAAGAACTGTCTGAATGCAAAGCCTATTTGTTGATAATTATACTGTGTGCATGCATGCGTATTGTTTGCAAAGGATTAAAAAAAAACAACTTAGAAACATTGTATTCAGCAAATCTGAGGTGTGAGTTTATATTTAGGTAACACTCTTAATGAAATCGCTTCCACAGTTTTGTCCTAGTTGAGGGAAAGATGGTGTGTTCTGATCACTTGTCCCAGGAGGGCAGCCCAGAAGCGTCCATCCCAAGTGGCGTATTGAAGCATATCCTCTTCTACTGGGCTGGTCACCACCCTACACTTTTGGAAAAACAACCCAGGCTGTCCAGGCAATGGCAAATCACAGGCAAACACAGTTTAGGGGGACACATCATTCGATGTTCTAAAATAGTTGAAATATCTTACTTTTATTAATATTTTTCCTACTGTTTTTAGTGAAAATGGTACATTAAAGGCACATACTCTATGGCCAGTAGTGTGAACATAAAGAAATATATTTGAATAATATCTTTAAAATATTTCAAAGTTTTATTAAATATTTTTATTCAGTTTTAAGATCACAGTTAAAGTACTTTAGCATGTTATACACATGACTTACATGTGCAATTTTTAGAAATATCAAATTAGGTATAAGATTTTGAAGAAAGAAATTATATAAATGTGTATATTGACTTTTACTACACATACATCTAAGAAAGCAATAATTCTGTTGTACCATTAAGTGGAAATCATTTATTAAAAAAAAAGTTTATAAAAAAAAAAAAGAGAACCAAGCCAATTTCTGAAAGAAAAAAAAAAGAAAACAAAAAAAAAAAACATATGAGCGATTCAGTCATGCTGAAACTGTCAACAGACTTTAGACCTGGTGGTCAAATGAAGCTGTGGTTAATTTATGACATGTGAGTAAGCAATTCAAACCTATGAGAAGAGTTTATAATCTGGTATGTGGAGTCTCAGGTGATTTTATTCTTTTTCTGACAAATTCCTGAGAACAAGAGACTTGTTTAGTGCTAATGAAATGGAAAAAACATTGCTGAGCCAGTTGCTGAGCTCCAGATGGCAAACCTTCCCTACCCCCCGTTCCACGGCTCTTAGAGCTGAGGCACTCATGTGAGGAGTCAGGGGACGTGAGCCCACCCATCTGGGGGGCCACAGAGCAAAATCAGTGTTAATGCATGAACATGCATGTCTCTATGATTTAGGTTAGCGCTTGTGAGGTAAGATTTGCATTGTGGGTGGAAGAGTTTTGAGGCATTGAATTAGATCCTTGTTACTCAGTAACCAGCTCTGGCCCAAGTTATCAGGAAATCTTTGGAGGGAGTAGTAATGTTCACAATAACCAGTTCTGTGCATAAAAATCGATTTAAGGGCATGATCAGTTTTGACCGCTGACTGCAAAAAGAAAACAGCGGCCACAGAATTTTCAACCACAAGGTTTCCTCTCTCAGTTTAACAGTATAAATCATACCACCATAGATCAAATTTGGCCAGAAGAGGAACCTCTGTTTTTTGTTTTTTAAAAAAGATGCACATTTATATATTTGAAGGAAAGGGTAGCACATACAGATGGGGATTATGAGGAAGTCAAATACATTTGTCTTTTTATTCATGCTTGTTGTTTCTTTGTTCTGAAATATAAGGAAGATAAGGTCCTCAGTGAAATGAACAAAGTTGTTTAATATAGAGTATAATAAACTTAGCTATCACTTCCAAACGAAAGTAAAGCAGTCCATCAAACCCTGAATACTTCGCCAGACACATCTGGTAAGATGAACTGAACAACAGCTTCTTTTCAAATTGTAAGTATGCTGTTAGTCAATCTAAATCAGATAATTTTTAAAAATCCAAAACTCAAAACAAAATCCAAATCTAGTTCTTTGGGAATGCTTGTATAAACAAAAGCAACATCTAATTAACAATTAGTATACTTTTTATAAGGTGCAAAATAAGGAGCTATTTGGGAAAGCTAAGTTTTAATTTCTACCTAGCAGTCACTCTGAATACTTTATAGGTCAAATGTAACAATAGCATTTGCTTCTACTGCCCATTTTCAGCAATACATTGTTCTCTCTGGAGGAGGCGGTTTGTGAAGTCAAAACACTGCAGTGGAAAATAGTGGCACTGAAGGTAGAAGCAAAAAAGGACAAACTTTTGAAACAGGACTTACTGAAATGAACTTTTAAAGCCGAGGTAGCCCATTAGGATTGGCCTTACATGAGGGCTCTGTGGAGCAGTGCAATCGAAGGTGAATCTCCTCAACAGCATCACACCCCGCGACATCCCCTTTACAAATGATGGATCCAGGCCTCCCGCAATTTCCTTCCTTTTCCCAGACGAAGTGGTGGTGCTTCTCCTTTGCTGTGTGGAATGCCATCCTCCAGCCTCCAGCTGCTCGTCTTCAGAACACTTACAATTCATACAGTAGTTTTAGCAGGCAGCATGGTCCCACTGCTTCACATTAATGTCAAATGCCAAACTTGGAACAGAGCTTTTTGGTATTTCCCCTCCCCTCCCCACCTTATAAACAAAACATGGCATTCAGTTTTCAGCTTACTCCTGTTCTGTAGCAATGTGTAATTAGCTTGAGACTTTACATAGGTGCAAACATTTCCATACATTGAGCCAAAGACTGCAGAGTGCAAACAAAATTTTATCTGACTTACAGTAGCATCTGACTTAATAAGAAAACAAAAGGATTTGAACACATTGGATTCTAAATAACCAGACCAGTTCAGATGCTCCTTTTTGTTCATAGTGTTCCATCATTATTTTGTTTCTCCAGCAATTTTAGTGGCAGGAAGTATAATCACACTGCTAACGTTGGAATTATTTTAACACGCTTTGGGACACGGCATCGGGAGAAAGCTCGTCTGACAGAATTAAATAAATACATTTCTGATATTTGTGGGGAAAATGACTATCGGAATTACAACAGTAGAATTTATCTTTTAAAAGGGGTTTTAATGAATTAACAGTTTTGATCTAAAATCTGGGAACTAACCTAATTTGGGGACAAGAACCTGTATTTCCAATGTGGCTGTGGGACATTTCTCTTTTTCCTGATCTCATATACAGTACCCAAACAAATAAAAACTTTAAGGATGTCTTACAGTATTTTTTCTTTCACTCAGCTTCTTAGAGCTGCAGCTTCAGTTACTATAATATACTCTACACACTTCAAAATTACATAGGAAATACCCAGAATAACTAAATAAATAAAAGGCTAAAGAAAACTGGAACAGTACTGCGTCTCCATCTGAGACGAAATCTTCTACTTCCAGCATCGCAGAGAAGGGCTAGGACAATTTTTTTTTTTCAAAAGATTTATATACAGGCTTGAATCCAGAAATTAAGGTTAAAAGCATAAATATTGATAATTTCAACTAAATTCAGAATGGTTTCAGAAAGATATGATACAACAATTTAGAATAAAACAAAGCAGAAGAGCATCATATTTTGGTTTGCTTGAGATATATATAAGGTGCAACAACTTCTTCTCTTGAGGATGCTGTGGGACAAATGTTAGTGTAGATGGTATCTGCTGGCAGATTAAAGTACACACTATAGCAATATGATTTTCCAAAATAAAAAGAACGAGAGAAATGAAATGAAAATGATAACGAGGGGTGGGGAGGAGAGCACTACATATTGGTCTGAAATATTTGTGCTAACAAATGTTGTTACCAGAAAATAACAACACTCCTCTCCAGCAGATTCAGGGCACAAGAAGCACAATTACTGAAATCAAGACTTTACTCAGAGAATCGACAAGGTGAGTCTAAGGAACTATAAAGCTTTGCAGGATTTCTGCTACTCTCGGTGCCTAACCGCTTAAAAATTAAGCATTTCTACAAAAAGGTTTGTTTTAAAGTATCTGAAAACAGTCATCTCCAGTAAGTTGCCCTCCCACCCCCAACCCTGCCTAAGGGAAAAGCCACTGAGGTTTAGGAAAATTTTTTTTTTTAAGATATTAATCACATAGAAAAAAGTAATCTTTTGTTTTGCTTTTTTTTTTTAAAAAAGGTCCCATGAATATACAGCAGTCTCTTAAGGAACTCTAGTGAAATGTAATTGGAGGACTGAAGGAGGGTGCTCTGGCAAAAATAGATCTATTCTAACGTGTTCTATAGAATAACAAGTACCATTGTCAAGGTGCATGTTCTGCACCATACAATTTTTGTTGTTGGTTTTTTGTTTTGGATTTTAGCTAATTATAATCTTCAAATCACTGCTAGCGAGTGGTCCAAAACTCCAACAGCCACCAACATCGGGACCCAGCAATTTCCAACATTCACTTTTTGTTTTGAAATTTAGAAAATATTAATAAAACAGCATCATAGTAAAAATATTATGCTAAAGTCTGGAACTGCTCACTTGATTTATTCCTATATGAATGCGGTTAAGCTGTAACTTCTGATTAACTTTTTACTAATTCCTTCTTCCTCCATCCCCACCAGGAATATGCATTTTTGAGTAATCATTCCGATGCTTTGCTACCCTCTTTACCTGCTTTGGAAAAAAAAAAAGACGAAAAACCTCTATATTTTTTTCAATCCTGTTAGTATGTTGTACATATTTTCCAGCACCGGAACTGAAGTAATATCTACAACCATGAGAAGCTAAGCCTAGTATGAATAGAGTCATTTTTTGTATGGCTATTAAGTCAAATTACAATTAGAAAAAAAATCATTACAATTCAGTCAAGTATAAATAAGAAAGCTAGATAAAACCATGTAAACTGTCACCATTTAGAGATCTAATTCAAAAGCTTCAAACTCGAACTAGCACTGTCAAAATTCCGCCAGTTTGAAAACCATTAAAAATTATTGCTGGAATCCAATAATTAAAATTTGGTAGTTTGTGCTGTGACGCAAGAGTGGGGAAATACTTTGTGCTATAGAACAAATACCCTGTAAAATCTGTAGCCTCAGACTAATTTTGATTTATCACTTTGCATCTGTTGCTAGGAAACAAGACACTGTGAACGTCAGGTGGTTAAGTCAATATGTTGAATGTTCTAAGCCAGTTAATCCACTTGGCGCTGGCGTATGTATCGTTGGTTTTATGTTCAAAAGCAACAAAACACAAAAAGGAAACAGAGACTTGCAGGTGGATCTATGACTGAGAGTCCCACTCTGGTCAGGCATACCTCCCTCATCATTGACTCAATACCTCCTAAACAACACAAACTCAAAATGGCTCTAAAAACCTGCAGTGCCAATTAGGCTGTGCATAGCAATTGCAACCCGTCCAGTCAATCTGTGATGGATGTAAAAGGTCTGTAGTTCCAAGTCCACATGAAGTAAGTGTCTTCAATGTGTTTAGAATAGTGAAGTAATACTAAGGTCACTTCTGAATAATATTTTTGTCTTTTTTTTTTGTTTGTATGAACAATCCATTGGTCACCTAGACCCCTGTGTAAAAATAAAAGAATCCTCAAGGCATGAAAACATCAGTAATCTGTAATCTGCAGGACTTTTCCCCTGTCTGGGAAAATATTTGCCACAATTTGCCTCAAGCAAATTCTTCTTGGTCACTCAAGGCTAAGAAAAAAATTCAGATTGTAAGAGTTGTAATTTTCTCTCTCTCTCTCTTTTTTTTTTTTGCCAGCAAACTACCATTCTGGTGGCAAATATAAAAGTGCAGAATATATGGACCACGAGGCCGAGCATACACCACTAACAATGGTACATCTGCCTGCCCAGGCTGCTTGGGAGTCTCTGGAACAGGCTTTTTAATATTTATTCTACAATATAAATGTAGGTATAACCTATTATATAAACCATCTTAGAACTTAAATCTCCATGTACAAAAAAGACTAAGAATATCTAATAATAACTAGTGCAGTGCGTCAGTTTTTGTTTTTTTGTTTTGTTTTGTTTTGAAAGAATAACTAGGTAATATATGAAACTAGTTTCACACTCTCTGGTTGGTAAAAGAGATGCTGGATGAGCTACAGTAAAGGCAGCCTTTTACCAAGTTACCACCTATTACCATCAAAAGCCTTCAATAGAAAGCAAAGCTCCAGGACCATTCTGTTTCTGCTCAGTATCAGACAGATAACCTTACCCTCAAATATTCTGGGTTGTGAGAGAACAAAGTGGCCCAGGATGCTAACTTCTGCTTCAAGTGAATCTGGGCCGTGTGGGGCAACAAGCACTTGTTTGCAGTCTATATTTTCCACCACTTGGACTCACTAGCATCCCTCGGTAAAGACAAGGCTAGGATAGTAGGTAAAGCACAATGTTTTACAATGAAAGGGCGCTTCACTGGTCAGCGCAGGAAATAAGTACAGGAGCCTGTGGCATTTCTTTTGGCTGTCCATCATGGGTGAGCGGAGTTGACCTCTGACCTCTGTAAAATAAAAGGAAGAAAACAGTCACTTATTCAGCATATGTTATTAGAGACAGGAGAGGACGATGAATAACAGATATGTTCCAATATCTTGTTTAACAGTTACTGCTGTTACTTACGTCATTTGATGAAAACTGTTTTTGCTTTAGAGTTTTTTCTTTTCTGTCCCTTTCCTTACTTTTTTCCCCTTCCTCCTTCCCATTCTGTCTCCCTTCCCAAGATTTCGTATCTGAATTCCCCTCATACAACTCAACAGCATATCCTCTGACCTCAAACAACTAACCACTTCCATTTGGAAGAGATGAAATTTTAAGTACCAACTAACCACTTCCATTTGGAAGAGATGAAATTTAAAAACAGATTTGGGGCAACTCTTTAAGAAGTGGGAAAATTTCAATCAAGGACTGGGGTTCTGGGACAATAACTTCCCTGTTGATCCATTGATATTAAAAATGACACATTCCTTTTCTTGACTTGCCTGAAGGGAAAGTTCTCCTATAGTAATTTGTAACCTTCAGGTAATATAAAAAAAAAAAAAACAATGAGTCTGGAAGAGAAGCAGAGATGGACTGTGACTCAAAAAAAAAAAAATTAATGAAGAAACAATAAACAATAAAACTCTCTGAACTCACATGCACATGGACAGAGAGTGTTTAGAGGAAGAAAACAGTACTGATGCTGGATTTTAGATTTTAACAAAATCTACCCTAGTTGGGCCAAAATCAACACACATGGAGGGAGAACTCCAGACAGGACTAGAAAATTCATGGAAATTTCCATCATTTGGATAGAACCTAGGCCAAACATAGCTGATTTTTCATTCAGCTTTTGTATAATTAGTAGTAAAAATACAATTTACTTCATGGTTATGAGAAAACTATCCAAAATTCTTGGTAATTTCTACAGAGCTTCTCATTCTAAAAAGAGAGGACTGGGCACTTCCTTGACATTTTCCAACAGGCCTACCAATCCTAGAAAATGCACACTCGCTGCTCTGCAACCTACAATGGTCTGTAGTGCCTAACACTGCACTGAAAATATGTGATGTATCAGCAATGTTTTCATTGGGTTGACCTTTCAATATCGTATCTTCTTCAGAGTACACAGAACAAAAGGAGCTATTTCAAGATTTAGCTTATGCCTGCTCTATAACTACACTCAAGTTTCTCTTGATGCACAAAAAAGAAAAATAATGTAGACAAATGACAACATTTGGGGGTTTCAGAATGAAATGATCACTTAATAGCCCAAGATATTTAGGATTTTAGAAAAGCAAAACATTTTAGAATCAAACCTCTGGATTAAGCTATTCACATGTGGATGTTATAGATACCACCTGTTCAATACGTTCAGCTCTTTGTTCAAGAAAGATGAAATTAAAATGCTACTTTTTACTTTTAAGATATTAAAAGATCCAAAAGAATTTTAAAAAAAAATAAAAAAGGAAAAGAAACAAAAGTAAAAGACGAAAAGTGCAATGTAAAAAAAGATGGTAAGAAAGAGAGAGAAATTGGGGTGAAAGTCCAGCTAAATCACTGGAAAAAGGGAAGAAGTCAGAATCACAGTGGGAGAGCACGACGTGCTGCAACTGATGATTCTAGCTCCCAGAGGAAGGGTCAGGTGAGATTCTTCATGATTTTCTCTGACATGACTGAAGCTTTCCTTTGGCAGTACGTGAGATATGGAGTTCAAATCTTGACTTGGGCGCAAATTGGCTGTGTGCTCTTGGCAAGTTAATTAACAGTCATTAAAATGGGAATAAAAAGGCCCACTTGGGAGGGCTAATTTAACTTCTAGTAAATAAACTGGTCTCTTCACAAAGGTTTGCTACAATTCTCTATTTTGTGCATTTTGTAAAACTGTCTAAGTTAGGTTTCTGAACCTAATGTTAGATTTTTTCATGGCATGAGTGCAGGTAATATATTTCCACCCCTAACTCCATGGGCCACCCTTTAAACTATGAACCCAGTTGATGCTGAAGTAATGCTTAATTCATTGGTATGCAACCCAGGTTCAATTACAGTAAGCCTACAGGTAGAAGCCTGGGGGTAGATCTGCTTTAACAGGTAAGGGCTCAAGTTACAGCTAAGACTCTCCAGGGTGATCTGTCCTTCTAGCTATTAAGAACGCTAACCATTTATTAGGTTGATGGTAAAATTCTAGTAATCATTACCATTCTTTCTAATGGAAGGTTAAAAAAAAAAGAAAGAACTTTTACTCACATTATTTTTCTATACCTGCTATCTAACTTAGGCAGTCATACTTCAGAGACTATCTCATTTATTCATTCACCCACTCATTTGTTCACTTATCAATTGTTGTAACAGGAACTCAGCAAGCTGGTAACACAGAGAATAAAACCACTGTTTTGCTTTCAAAACACACTGAAAGTAGACAGAAGCATCGACAAATCAATACATCCCAATGTGGTCTGAGAGAGGCGTGAGTACAGCACGCAGGAGCAACAAGAAGCACACAGCCTAGGGCATCAGGAGGACTGAGAGAAGAGGACCGGGGACTAGGGTGGGGAGGAGGAGAGCAGTTGACCTGATCAGAGGATGTACAAGGCAAGAGCTTGGCGTATCTGGAAAGGGGTAAGTGATTCCACATAACTGCAGGGTAGAGAGTGTGGAGGGCGGGGACAATGAGATTGGAAGGGTTTGCTGTGGCTTTCTGCTAATGCAAATTGGGAAACATGGAGGGCTGGTTAACAGAGCAACGGTGTGACCATGCTTAGAATGCAGGCAGCAGCCAAGATGCTTATGTGGTAGCCTTTCCTACCCCTGAATTATTATCCCCCACTCCATTCTTAAAGATTCCCTCTTATTTCCACAATTCACAGAGACACTTAATAACATTTTTTTTTTTTTTTTTTGTTCTCACTGAATGTGTATGTGTTTGTCCTCTACTTTTTTTTTTTTTTTTTTGAGACAGGTGTTTTGTTCTTTTTGCCCAGGCTGGAGTGCAATGGCGTGATCTCGGCTCACCACAACCTCTGCCTCCCAGGTTCAAGCAATTCTGCCTCAGCCTCCCGAGTAGCTGGGATTACAGGCATGCACCACCATGCCTGGCTAATTGTTTTATATTTTTAGTAGAGACGGGGTTTCTCCATGTTGGTCAGGCTGGTCTTGAACTCCTGACCTCAGGTGATCCGCCCGCCTCGGCCTCCCAAAGTGCTGGAATTTACAGGCGTAAGCCACCAAGCCCAGCCTGTCCTCTATTCTTGACTGTACAACTCCACGAGTGGAGTAGTATCTGTGCATTGTCTCCCTCAGAGACCTTAGTGAATTTTAACAATGTCTGTCAGCATTCACTTGCTATTAGGAACTTGCAGTGTACACATAAAAAGGAATTTGACTTGTTGGAAATATCTAGAGGCTATTTGCGAGGAAGTACTCAAACTGTAATATGACAGATAAATAGCAAGAAGCAAACTAAGCTCACGTCAGGGACTCCAGGTTTATCTGGATGTGAAAAAGGAGCGTGGGGCCTATAGCTGGCTACACCAGCTGCACTGGGTTGCGAGCTCTTTTGTACTGAAGACTGAAAGTCTAAGAGAGCAGCTCATCCATGGGTAATCCACTTTGAATAGGAATATAAAATACCTGAATTTACAATAGGCTTTTTTGCCTTCCCAAAGGATCCATTAAGTAGCAGAATACCCAATTATACGCTTAGAACTTAATATACTTTCTGTGGGGCTTCGCTGAGTTCAAAAGGTTTTCACATCTATGATCTCGTCTGATGCTTACAACTTCGTAATTCTTTGGGGATATCATTATGCTCAATGTAAAGTGAGAAATTAAAGTCCAGAGAAAAAAGTTACTTTGTAGGAAATCACAGAAGAGTTGAAGCAAAATCCAGGCCTCTGGCTGCCATGAGTCAGATCCCAAGATGCTCTTTCCCCTGAACTGCACTGTCTTCTGATGGCTGGTGATGGCACCAACACCATCACCAATAAGGGGCGTTCCACACACCAGCACTGGGATGCTAGAGTTACCCCACATAGCATCTCTATGAAATGTGTGCCACCTGCCCCTGCTTTTTTAGAGGAAAAAACCAAGCGTAGAGAGGTTAATAATCTTGGTCAAGATCTTTTGGTTTGCAGGTGATGGAGCTAGGACTCAAACCTCAGTCTGCAATGAGACTCCAAAGCTCACTGGTCACATAATACTGCTTCCCTGCTCCCAGGCTTTTTAAGGAAATGAAGTTTAGCCACAGGATAATATATTCAAAATAAAATACTTGGCAGACTCTATTCCCTGGTATTTTCCCACACTGCTAATTAGCATATATACTTTGGTAATACCTCATATAACCAATAGTGCTCTTGAACCAAGTTTGAACTCCAATGCCCTGTAAAAAACGTCACAAACCACATCAAAGAGGTTGATCTGGTTTCCATGTTGCTTTCTCCTTCCATGTTCCATGACTAACCTGTGCACGTTTTCCATGGCTGCCACTTCAGCCAGTGCAGCGAGGCTAAAGAACGCAGACACAGCAGGCATTTCTGGAGTACTGCTCCGCGTCTCCTCGACCTCGGTGTTGTGTGAGGATTCGTCATTGCAGTCTGTCTCGGTTGCTTTAGGGAGACTCCTCTGCAGTTGCTCCTTTGGTTTGTCATCTGTAACAAAACAGAAATTCATCATAAGAGGATCACTCTGTTCTCTCCAGAGAAGAGACACAGAAAACGCCATGCCGGTCAATGTGAAAAGAGCTAACGTTCTCTACTGTTCACTTTTGCTATCCATCGAATATTAAGGCTTTTACAGAATCTCTTCTCCTCGGTAACAAAGCTCTTTTATTAAGCTCAATTGCAACTATGGACGGCACTGTGCCCTGAGGCTGAGCTGAAGAGAAGCTGTGTTTTATCGGAGGTCAAAGAATGGGTCAGCCTTGGAGTGAGAAGGAAAAATGAGCCTCGGCTAAAATAAAACCCAAGGGACTTCTGTAGAGGGGCCTGTAGATGCTGTAAAAGAGCCCTTAAAAACCCAACTGACTAAACATTTCTCATGAAGCTGTAGCATGCCCTACTATGGCAACCTGGACATTGGGTATGCTGTGATACCAACACTTAGGATGGCCTATACATCACATTAACCAGTTCTAATGAGAGCCCAAGTTGTTATTTTGCTTAAAGATCTACCGGAGAGAAGACAAAACCCTCTGGTATTTACAAAGAAGTGGATGAAATGCTGTGCAAGGATGCCTGCTACAAATGAGTATACTCTCTTCATTATGTAGCCATTATAGAGAAGGGAAATTTTTATCATAGTTTAAAAAAATTGTAAATATAGAAAATGACCGATAAAAGCTTTAAATATTATCTATTAGGACACAAAAGTGGTATGATACTTTTCTATGTAAACAGGAGTGTTTCTCATCTTTTTTCACTCCTCCTCCAAGTGAAACAAATGAGGATATAACAATCTACAAAATGAAAGTCACAAAACAGAACTCAGATTGGACAGAAAAGGAGGGAGGGGCCTGCTGGGCTAAACATCAGGACATCTAGGTTTTAGTCCTCATTCTACTTCTATTGTATTGAATGTACTCAAACAAAAACTTCCACCTCTTTGATTTTTTTCTCTTATATGACAGGGCAAAATCAGGGCCTTTAATCTACTCTGTTTCTAACAATCTATATATTCAAAACACACAAAAAGGTGCACAGAATTCATGAACTGTCCTCTAACTAGGCAAACAGTTCACCTCTATTAACACCTAGATTAACCCAAATCACATAAAATAAAACTGTGGAAGTACTGAGAGGCAGAAAGGCAACAGCCAAGGCCACTAGTACCTAGCTGGTATAGCACTCCAAGATTTTGGGGCTGGGGTGTGTCTCAGTATCATTCACTGGCCACACCCCTTACCTTGGGCTCCTCAGGTCATGTCATTCTACTGCCAAAGATGCTACCAGGAACAGCAAACAGACCACAGGCCATGATTGAGAATGGAGAAATTCACCAGTTGGTTGAATTAAATCAGAAATCCAGAAGCATTCTCAGGCTCCCTGCATGGTCTGAACCAATTATATAGGAAGTGGATGTTCCTATATAATTGGATGCATCTTAAACTTAATCTACTGGTTTGAATGCCTGGTAATCTGGCTTGTAGTGACCCGAATAGCAGATCATGGTGAAATACTGATTCATTTAGTATCTTTAAAAGACCAGGATCTCCTGGAATTAAGACTGCTTTGTGCACATTGAGAAAGATAAAGGGAAGATGACAGTCCTAAAAACTATCTTTCTTTTCTAGGAATTCAGATATGCTCTTGGAAAACTAGCTATGATTTTAAACATGGAATAAAACATGTTTGGAGGTCTGTAGAAAGGTGCAGAATAGACTCATTTTTCAGCAGGAACCACAGTTGCTTACAGTCATTTGCTGACGTGGTGGTCACCTGCTTGCTCTAGTTATCTCTGTCTAAAGCAAGCTTGTCCAACCCATGGCCTGAAGGCTGCATGTGGCCTGGGACAGCTTTGAATGCAGCCCAACACAAATTTGTAAACTTTCTTAAAACATTCTGAGATTTTTTTGCGTTTTTTTTGTTGTTGTTGTTGTTTTGAGACAGAGTCTCACTCTGTCGCCCAGGCTGGAGTGCAGTGGTGCGAACTCAGCTCACTGTAACCTCCAACCACAGGTTCACACCATTATCCTGCCTCAGCCTCCCGAGTAGCTGGGACTACAGGTGCACGTCACCACGCCCAGCTAATTTTTTGTATTTTTAGTAGAGATGGGATTTCACTGTGTTAGCCAGGATGGTCTCGATCTCCTGACCTCGTGATCCACCCACCTCGACCTCCCAAAGTGTTGGGATTACAGGCGTGAGCCATCGCGCCTGACCTGTTCTTTTTTGTTTTGTTTGTTTGTTTGTTTGTTTAGCTCATTGGCTATTGTTAGTGTATTTTATTTGTGGCCCAAGACAATTCTTCTTCCAATGTGGCCCAGGGAAGCCAAAAAATTGGATGCCTCTGGTTTAAAGCTCTCTCTTCTTACCCAAAGTACCTCCTGCTGGTGATACCCGGCCATCTGCTGTCCTGACAAGGTGTGTAATCTTGGTTTTCCTTGCTTTTCTCTTTTGGCTGCCCACCAAAGGTTCTTGCATTGTTGTTGGCTCTGGAGTGTTGAAAATGGATGGGATATTTTTAACCTTATGAACAGGCTCCGTGGTGTTTCTGTCTTCTGAAAATATGGCTGAAATAGGAAATACCATGCATAGTTATGCACAAAAACAGAAGGCACCAACATTGCTCTTAGAAGGAAACATGTCTAAATTTCTGACCCATCTGAATGGAGAATTTACACTCAGAGTTTTCAAAGTACTGATGGAAAAAACGAAATAAAACATTGCCCGTAACTTGTTTACTACCAATTGATATTTGTTTGATAAATTAAATGCAGTGAATTAAGATACCCACTCTTTTTTACATTTTCTAAGTCTTTGGATGTTGCACATTGGTGGGGACGATAATTTAGGTAAATCTGAGTAAATTATGTCCTCACAGACCCCAAGTCCTAGCTGTGGTCAGGGTCCCTATCTGAGAGATCCTTTTGGCCAGTTGGCCTGGAGAGGCTGGTAAAAGAAATTTCTTTCTTCAGAGGACAGTAAAATTAAATATGTACTTCTTAAATTTATATTTTTGGTTGGGACATTTGCTTCCAAGCACCAGGCTGAATTGATCAGAAAAGAAACTGAGGCCTTTGTTTCATGTAGATTGACTGTGCAGTAAGGACAGGACAAATATTGTTGAAGCCAGCATGCCAAGGAAAGAAACTCTCTTTCATTCACTGAATTCTAAAACAAGGAATACACTTAGTGAGATAATTTAATGAAGTCCCACATGTCATCCTGGCTTGTGGAGGGGCTAGTATTAGGTATCCTAATTGTATCCCCAGTAAATCATTTGACAGCACACTCCTATATTCTGAGTCACTCTGTCAAGAGCAAGGAAGACACCTGTACCACAGACTTCTCCTGGTTTACATAGATTGGGGATGCTTGTGTCTTTTCTTATATATTCATGTTCTTTGCAGTTCGCCCCCTCCTGACCTTAACTTAAAAGTAAGAAAAGATGTGTAGCTGTGAGTTTAGTAAGTGTTTAGGGGTATAATATAGTTGAGTTTTATGACTGGGACTTTAAAGAAATTCTAGTGACCCAAGGGCTTTTAAGCAGGGAAAAGAAGCACTTTCATAATTTTTAACTATCCAATTTCTTAGGATAGACATAGAAGTCATTTTTGACAAAGAAAAGGAGAATGTGGGTCAGAACACTAACGTCAGACATGACAAGCCCTAAGCAAACTAAATCCAGAGGAGGCATATCTGAAGGTAGATATTGGCAATAAAGCCATATATATATACACACACACACATATATATATATGTGTGTGTGTGTATATATATATTTGGAAGATAAACTAAAATAAGAGGAAAAAAACTAGAGCAAGAATGACTCAGGGTGTGAAAAAATGAACTTGTTGGTATAAACACTTGTACAGCCCTCATTTAAAATGTTTAATCTAGGTGTTTAATGGATTTAGGTACATCCTCAAGAAAGAAGGCTATGAATTAATAAGATTTTTTTTTGTCCTGGAAATCATGGCACCTTGTCTTTAAAATATGTTTCAAAAGAAGGGCTGATTCCAGACTTCACATTCCTAAACAAGTGGGAAATAATTTCAATTACATCAAAAGAAAGTATGTAAAGCAGAAATCACACCATCATTTGTGGTTTGGCCTTACCTCAATATTGCATAACAGATGGCTGTGTGGAGACAGGCTTAAGATAACAGTTGTTTTAAAAAACTACTTGGCAATGCTCCCAAACACCTTTTCAAGTAAGTAATCAAAAGTCAGAAAAAATACTCCTTTTAAATTGCAGATCTATTCCTAGGTCAAACAGATCTACCTCGATGGTGGATTAATTTATTCAGTTATGATACTTAGTCTTAGAATATTTATACTTTTTTTTTTAGCTTAACATAGGCCAGTGGTGGTACATATTTTAAGATTTTTTTTTTTTTTTTTTAGTTTAAGCTTCAATAAAAGTTTCCAGCAAAATAAAAAATAATTTGCTTAGAAACACTCCAAAGAAGTTGCACGATTCTATTTTAGCCTTAAAATTCAAAGCCTCCTTTAAGTATAAAGAAGCCCAAAATCTGAATTTACAATGAGCATTAAATAACATCTATTGCACATTCACAAGCTTCAAGATTTCTAATTTCTTATCCAGATCCATCAGCTGTCCCTTCTGATTACAGAAGGACTCTTGTTCACCTCTCCAATAGAATCACTACATTGTGGATGGACATTCCAGAAAGAACATTAACCTCTTCCCTTTTCTACTTCCCCTTCCCAGGAAAGTACAGAACATGTAGAAATAAGGGTATATAGTGGGGTTCCAAAGATGGAAAGGTGCATCATATCTTACATCAGAACCGACTGCGGAAAGAACCAAGGAGGTAAACGAAAAGGCATGGATACCAGAAAAAGGCCAAGTCGGCTGGGAAAGATGACTTGCTTTTCACACAGAGACCATGGGGTAATGGAAGTAACAGTCACAGAGACCAGAATTCTACTCCTGACTTTTAAATTTACTAACTGCAGTCCGACCGACCATGAGCCTCTGTTTCTTCATTCAGAGATGGAGGTTGGACTATATTAGCTTTAAAGGAGCCATCTAGCCCTAAAACAATTTTGCTACATAGGTTACAATCAGAGATCTGGCCAGAGGCAACAACAAGAAGCCACCAGTCAGCTCCAGAGTCACAGGCTGGGAAACGGTACTCCCGTGACTAGCACTGTTCTTGTTTGTTTGGTGAGCCTTCAAATGGTTTCATTTCTACTTAATGGTTGTTCCTTTTCTAGTTTGTTCCAGATGAATTGGTAAAAACACAGTAAGAAGCGTAAGGCACAGCTGCAAAAGGGTTGATTGCAAATGGAGGTACATTTTCTGCCTAAAACCAGACTGCGACTAGGGAAAGCTCGGAAACCAGCAGGCAAACAGTCTGGGGGCCCAAAGCAGGCCAGCAATACTCAAGTCCCAAGGGTCAGTATATTGGAGGAAAGTAAAGGAGTGAATCAGACTGCAGACCAAGTGGAAGAGGCGAAAAAAAAAAAAAAAAGAGAGACTATGTCAGAAGTTCTCATAAGTTCCCAAGGGTTAACCCCAGCACATACTGTCTTGTTTGGTGGTTTAGACTGAGGACAGCCTTCAGGATCAGTCCTCAGGGAGACCCTTCCCCTAAGACAGAAGAATTAGGGAAGGCAGATGGGACTGTGTCCAAGAAGCAGTTTTCTGGAACGAAACAGTAGATATGAGTCCAACGACACTGGCAAAGCAAACCAAAGCTTGGTGGTGAGGGACATGAGATGAAAACAGTTCCGAGAGGGAAACAAGCACAAAAGCTGAGTACAAAGATAGCAAGCCAGTTCCCCCCGACAACCCCCAACCTAATGGAAATGTAAGAAAAGAAAGGCTTTGTGGCTCCAAAACAAATTAGTCATTTCTTTTCCGGCTTTTAATTGAGCACACAAAACTACCCGAGCACTTTAGAACAAGTCCACAGGGCTAGTTTTTATACCCAAAACAATAACCATAACACACTTGGTACGTATCATCTGAGAGTGATAATGCAAGCTCACTCCTGGAGCCACATCAGGAATGTAGCAATAAGAGATCATCTTGTTTTCCAAACTCTGATCCCAAAATGTGGAGTAGGTTTTCTGGGAAAGCAGCATTGCTCTTGTATTGTACCCCACGAGGCCACTAGAGTGCTCCAGAGTCATGAATTCACATTCCACCTGGGGTTTCAAACTTGCACTGAAATTATTATAGCCAGATCTGGAATCTAATTGCCTTTGGTAGGTCTCCCATGAGCTGAAACGGTAGTCAGATGCTGAATAGAACACAGGAAAAAGAAACGAATGAGCCTTACCCAACATCCTGGGAGACTTTGCTGAAGTTATATAGCAACTATTTCAAACTTAAGAAAAGAGATCGAGTTACACTGGGCACTGTGGATCGTGTGTGAAAATTTAACTATAAACCAGAATTTTCTTGCCTGTAATGAGATTTATACATTGCAAAGAAGCAAATTTTAACAGAGATTCTTAGTCCTAGGTTTTTTTTGCCCTTGTGAAATACCATTTATATTTTCAATACCTGACCCAAATGAGGGTTAAAAGTCTACATATATGAAGAACGGAAAATGTAGTAGCCTATGAACTTAAATGGAGACATGGTTTCTTCCCTGTCTGCTTGTGTTGCTCGGGTCATAATTCCTTACCATGAATTCGCGGCTGATAAACCCTCCTTAACTCACTGGGAATGCTGTTAAGATGAAATTAAAATATATATATATGAAAGCCTCCTTAAACTATAAAGTGGGAGTAAGTGTTAGTTATCATCATCATTATTACTGCAATTAGAAACTTCCAGCTTAAAACATGAACACATGACACCATAACTAGGCGGAAAGATAAACACAGTGGCAGAGGTAGCAGGTAGGTGTTCTTGGTTTATTTGAAAACCCCACCTTTAATTCCAGGCTGTGGACAATTTTTTTTATACATATATACCGAAATTTCAGAAAGTGGTTTAACAATTTTGAATTGTAAAAGCCCAGAGCTTAAGACACATTATCAACTTAGCATTTAAACATATTACTAAGCATCTAAATATTTCTGATATTTTGAAATAAAAAAGATTGCAAGGTGCCTGTACACAGGGTGATATAAAGAAAACATAGTGAACTTGAAGTCATCTACTTTAGCAGAAGTCAGAATAGCTGAACAGTGACATGGCGTCAGTTGACTCAATATTTCTATTAAAGACATCAGCTACAAACAATTCCTGCCTAACATTTGAGCAGGATTTTAACCTTACACATGTTAAAATTATTCTATACTATTGTTATGTTTTCTGTCACGTATTTATACCCTCTCCAAGGTGAAGTTTCAATAAGCAATGATACAGTCATAGATGAGAGAAAGGAGTAAAGGCCTAGAAAAGTCACAAAGCACATAGTCACTACACAAACAAGTAAATGTTGGAGATAGTAAGAAAATAAAAAAACAAAAATGGTTACTTTAAATTACTAGTAATTTCTGATGCTCAAATTGATTCCTGTTTTTCCTGGCCAAATAAAATGAGTTTGTACTCTACACTAAATAATGGACATGCATTTTTCAGTGCATATGCTCCAAAAGTTGTTTCATATACATTAATAATAAATATAATTAAATATCACCAATAATAACTGTATTTCTACTAAAGCCTGGGACTGCCGATAAGACTCAAAAGTGATTTACTTTTATGCCCCCAAAAGCAGAAAATTAGGGCTACAGAATATAGTACTTCTAGTATCACAATACTTACTCAAGATACCAGAGCAATAAAATCATTATCAAGTGTTAGAGGGGAAACAGAATTTACAGTCTGTGTACTACTACATCTCATCATTCACCCAATCTCTAAACACACAAATTATATATGTACTTAATACGAATGCGGAGAGTAATCCTAGTGAGGTTAAACAATATGTCCTACTGAAAAATGCTGATCAGTAGCAGGTCTGAGACTAGAACCCAGATTTCCTAATGCCCAGGTAAGTGCTCTTTCTACCACACTGCACTTGCTCTGGTACCTCTGTAGGGTTTTCAGTATTTAAACAACAGAACAAAGTACTTAGAACAGTATCATTTTAAGTAAAGAGTAAAGTGGTCCTAAACGTCCTTCAAACTCTTCTGCTAGTTCATCAGCGCCTTACATTTATAAAAACTATATGGAATATATTTTTAAAATATACAAGAGCTAATGTATCAATTTAAGGATGTTAGGATTTAATGCTGTGAACAGCACAATTCATATTTTGTTTTGCCAGCACTGAAGCAGAATATTCCATAGAGGTTGTGAATGTGAATTAGCAAGTGAGGTAACAGATGTAGTGCTGGCGTTTTCTGGAAAAGTAAAATGACACGGAAGCTGATGTGGCTCATGTAAACGATGCCTAATAAACCAAAAATACTTATGTTTAACATGAACTCAAACTTGACCAGTTTTGCTAGCTCTCTTAAAAACATGAATATTTCTGATAAGTGACTTAAGTCAATTGTGCATTTTATTTTTTTCTCATTTTCAGTAAAGGAATGATAGCATATTTGAGAGTCAAAAGATGTGGACTACGTCATGAAGTTCCCATTTCTGGATATAAGTGAATCAAAGGAGTCGAAACAAATGATCTCTAAAATCCCTTCTAGTTTTCAAATGAAGTGACTCCTAATTAAGCACTACAAAAACGTCAGCTCTTTTAAAATATCTGCAATGAAAAGCAAAGAATCAATAGGAAGAAGGGAGAGGTGGCCTCTTAACCATTGAAGAAATTGCGCTTTACCTAAGGGCTCAATGTTTAACAGTAATTAAAGTCACAAATAAATATGGCCATGAGAAATTTCAAAATCAAATCTGTACCTAGGACCTATAACATGACTAGTTAATATTGGATTTTTCTTGGGCTACCCATAAGCCTCGGGGTGTTCTGTTCTTTTGTTGTTGTTGTTGTTGCCCAGGCTGCAGTACAGTGGTACGATCTTGGCTCACTGAAACTTCCGCCTCCTGGGTTCAAGCGATTCTCCTGCCTCAGCCTCCTGAGTAGCTGGGACTATAGGCACGCGCCACCACAGCCAACTAATTTTTGTATTTTTAGTAGAGACGGGGTTTCACCATGTTGGTTAGGCTAGTCTCGAACTCCTGACCTCATGATCTGCTCGCTTCGGCCTCTCGAGGTACTAGGATTACAGGCGTGAGCCACTGTGCCTTGCTGGGTCGTTTCATTTTTAATGGGCTAGGAAAACATCCAGGTCAGAAGTTACTCCTGCAGGCCTGCCCATGCCCAGCCAACCAGGTTGTTATTCCAACTCCCACTGGGCATAGGCATCTGCCTGCAACATGAACTGCAATGCTGAATATATTTAGCTATGAAAAACTCTAATCTCTGATTAATGCGATTCAAAGGTTACAAATTGCCCTTTAACAGATTAAACATCACATGACACATTGTCTGACCCTTGGCAGGAGTCCCCTAGACAGCACTTTTGATGTGAAAATTAAAAATAACCTAATTATGAACACATAAGTCTAATGTTGTTGGTTGAACCTATATAAATTATACCTTTTCAAAACCTATACAACTTATGTCATTTCCAGCTCCGACTGTCTGAAATTAAATAACATTGTTTGTCTTACCTTCTGTAGGGTGAATGGCATCCAAGAAGAGTTGCTTGTTTGACCATTTATCCCCACTTCCTAAAAACAATGACAGAAAAGGAGAGAAAAGTGAAACTCTACTATTAGCAGATAGTCACACTACAAAAACAAGATGATACACAAACTAACTTTTGAAACATCACACAAATGAAGCTGAATTTTATTTCAATTACTTAATTCTTAAAATTGTATTTGCCAACTAAAATAATGAGGCTGTACAGAAAATGGATTAAAAATAAAGTTTTTGTCTTTTACGAAGTATAGTGTTGGATTATTTCTGTAACTTTAATCAAAGAAATCTGAAGATCAGTAAAAGAGAACGAAAAAAGCTGATGTTTTCACCTAATGAATAGTGTTTCTTTCCTGGAAGCAGAAGAAAAAATAATATCAATACACAAAACAAAACTACGAAGCTGAAGTGGAAGTGAAAAGAAAGCCCAAATTAAGTAAAAGGTTACACACAGGAACATACAGGCACACATGTCTACACACAGGAGACAGCTGCGTTTAAAGCCTCATTCAAGAAACACGGAATGCTTCACATCTGGCCATGCAAGTAGGATGCAAATGGGCACCGGATGAGTTGGTTTATGGCACTCACGACACTAACATGCAGGGAGATGCTAAAGAAAACCTGACCTACAGAATACTTGGCTGCACTGAGCCAGATGGGAAGATTTATCTTTTATGTGAAATAAGAAAAGGAGTCCTGCACTGTGGGAAGAAAGAGATCTTAAGATGAGCCCTGAAGAGGTTTAAAGGCTCATCAAGATCATACCAATGAGACAGACGTTCCGAGTAAAGAGGGGACAGAGTGCAATCAGTCTCTACTGCCCTTTCAAATAACAGGCATGTGACTGAAGGAGGTTGGAAGAAGAGCCTGGCAAATGAGAAGGGGGGGAAAAAGAGTCAGGTTACAACTTAAGAGTGGAGAAAAGGGTCCACAAGAATCCTCAAGTGTCAGAGGAAGTACAGAAACAGTGGCACTTTTACATGAATAAGAAACTCTTAAGATTTCATGAAGTAGGAAAATGTGGTCATGGTATGAAGGGCTGCCAAACATGTGAAAACCAAGAATAGTCAAAGAAAATAAATGGATAAGTGGTCAAGAAGACTGAATTGCAAAACGCACCAAATACAGATGAGAAGAAGCAATTTTAGGATTCATATGGGGCTCTGAAAATAGAGACAAATATGGATTTGAATAGGAATCCAAGTGAAGGGAGATTTGCAATTAGCTGCAGAGTCCAGAAAGAATGAAAACACCCGCATCAAGAGCTGATGGCACTGAAGCAAGCACAGGGGAGGACAAGGCAAACGCAGTGCATGGAAGCATTACTCAAAGATGAATCACAATGGAGGTGACCAGGAACCCTTCATGGAGGATGGAGGGCACCAATACCTTTTTCCGGAACATTGGGCTTCTCCTTTTTGTGCTTATATTTGCTGACAATTTTGTGGAATAAGTTCTTTTTCTGAGACTGGAAAAAAAAAACAGACAATATTAATATAAATATATTTTAAATTCACAATGTTTCATAAAAAAATTGTGTATTTCTCAACAATTCCACCCTCCTCCCTCCTATAGAATAAGCAAATTGAGTCTCAAGAAATGTCATCTTGCATCTTCACTTATTTAAATGGTGCTCAACCCCCTTCTTTGGGCTTATTTAAACCCAGTGAGATTTTCCTTAGAAATGTATTGGGCAAAGCCTCCATTAGGGCTGGGACTCCCTAAGCAGAAACTGCAGATACAGTGAGTAGAAACAAACTACAACCAATAACAGCAAAATGGCTAGAGTATGTAATACAGAAAAGATTTTACTTTAGACTCCTAAATACCATGAAGGAAAGGATGGCATATGTGTTTTATGTCTCCAACGAAACTGCTTTTCACTACAAGGATAGCATTTTCAGGACAGCAGTTGACCTGACAGCATTAGACAGCTTTCTGGCCTTTTCTGAGGATAACCTAGGAAGAAAAAAGTGACTTAAAAATTGAAAATATTTGCCAAAAAACTTTATTCTGGGTGGAAGGGGGAGATGTTTCAGATTCTTAGTTTTTTCAGATAAAGAAACAGAACTGAGATTTTCTTCAGTGAACAATCAGAAATACCAGCAACAGCGCTGACCTCCCCAAAGCCCCTGTGGCATCTCTCCACCTACCAACAGCTGCAACTACATGCTCTATCTTCTGGCCACAGGTGAAGCATCTTACACTCCTATCTGGTCAGTTCCTCCACCCGTGGCATAGCCCCACCATCCTTGTCCAGCTCAACACCATCATTTCTCCCTCTCTAATGGGCCATTCCATCAGTATACAAACATAATTTCTTTTAACGTAGAAAAGAAAAAGGTGGCTTGTAACCAAACTTCCCTCACATCACTTACTGCCTTAGTTCTTCATTCCTCCTGTAGCAAAAATTCCACAGAAGGGTTGCCCATGCTGTCTCCAGTTTCTCTGTTTCCTTTCTTTCTTTCTTTTTCTTTCCCTGTCTCTCTCTCTTTCTTTGAGACAGGGTCTCATTCTGTTACCAGGCTGGAGTACAGTGGCATGATCTTGGCTCACTGCAACCTCCACCTCCTGGGCTCAAGCAATCCTCTCACCTCAGCTTCCCGAGTAACTAGGACTACAGGTGGGGATCACCAGGCTTGGCTAATTTTTTGTATTTTTTTTTTTTTTGAAAGTCGGGGTTTTGCCATGTTGTCCAGGCTGGGCTCAAGCAATCCACCCACCTTGGCCTCCCAAAATGCTGGTATTACAGGTGCGAGCCATTGTGACCAACCTCATTCTGTCTTAAACTCACTACAACTAGGTTTCTGCCTTGCCACTCATGGAACAACTGCTCTTCAAGAGGTCATCCAGTACCCACCCCTATGCTGTGAAGGCCAATTGTGGGTCCTTACTGCACCGGCTGTTCCTGTAGCTCCTGACCACTACAGCCACACTCTCTGCCTTGAATGTCTCCTTCATTGGGCTTCTAGGATACCACCTTCTCTTCTTTTCTCTTCTCTATCACTGATCTTTCCCTCTGTCTCCTTTGCTTATTCTTTTCCCTGACCTCTTAATTTTGGAAAGTTCTGGGCTTGGTCCTTGTCCTCTTCTCTATTCTCACTCATCTGGTGATTACCTCTAATCTCAGGGCTTTAAAATAAAATAAAGTAAAATAAATAAAATAAATACCAGCTATAGGTTGAAGACTCAAAAATGCATCACCCCAGCCAGACCTCTTACATTGAGTGTATATGAAAAGTCAGCAATCTTACACTATCTTACAAGGACTTTAGAGATCCAGAGCTCCATTACCTCCATAACCTCACATCCTGCCACTCCTCTCCTTTTGAGTCTCTCTAGCTGCATGGGCCTCCTGGCAGTCCCCTGCACATGTAGTCTCAGTGTTCCTGACTTTAGGATCTCTGAACCAGCCATTACCCTGCCTAGAAAATGTTCTTCTCCAGGATGTCCGCACGGCTAACTTCCTCACCTCCTTCAAGGCTTTACTTAACTACCTTCAGACCACTCTATATAAAACTGCAAGCCAATCCTATGCCCATCGCTTGATCTCCCATTCCCTCACAAACCTATTCTTTTAACTGATCTTTAAAAACAGCTTTGTTGAAATAGAATTAACATACCATACAATTCATCCATTTAAAGTATGCAACTTGTGTTTATATTCAGACATTTGCAACTGGCACCAATTTCTGAACATTTCATCACCTCAAAAATAAATTTCAAACCTTTTTAATATTACTCCTCCCATACCTGTATTCCCCCTCTCCCTAAGCAACCTCTAATCTCCTTTCTGTCTCTATAGATTTGCCTATTCTGGAAATTTCATATAAATAGAATCATATAATGTGATTTTTGACTTAGCATAATGTGTTCAAGGCTCTTCCATGCTATAGCATGTATCAGGGCTGAATAATATTCCATTTAATGGACTGTTTATTCATTCAACAGTTGGTGGGCCAGGCACAGTGGCTCACGCCTATAATCCCAGCACTTTGGGAGGCCAAAGCAGGTAGATCATGAGGTCAAGAGATCAAGACCATCCTGGCCAACATGGTGAAGCCACGTCTCTACTAAAAATACAAAAATTAGCTGGGTGTGGTGGCATGCGTCTGTAGTCCCAGCTACTCAGGAGGCTGTGGCAGGAGAATCACTTGAATACAGGAGGCAGAGCCTGCAGTGATCCGAGATCATACCACTGCACTCCAGCCTGGTGACAGCGAGACTCTGTCTCAGAAAAACAACAACAACAACAAAAACAGTTGGTGGACATTGGGATTATTTTCACCTTTTGACTATTATAAATAACACTGTTAAAAACATTCAAGTATAAGCTTTTGTGTGGGACACAGGTGTTCATTTCTATAGGGCATATACTTAGAAATGGACTTGCTGGGTCATGTGGTAACTCTTTGTTTAGCCTTTTGAGGACCTACTAGACTGTCTAAGAAAGCAGCTGCACAATTTCGCATTCCCACTAGCAGTGTATAAGGATTTCAATTTCTCTACATCTTTGTCAACATTTGTTATTATCTGTTGTTTTTATTAATGGCCATCCTAAGGATGTGAAATGGTATCTTTCCCATTGTGGTTTTGATATGCATTTCCCTGATGACTGATGATGTTAACTGTATTTTCATGTACTTATCGGCCATGTACTTGCTATGTATCTTCTTCGGAGAATTATCTATTCAGATCACTTGCCTGTTTTTATGAGCTGTCTTTTTTACTGCCGAGTTGTAAACATTCCTTATATAGTTTAGATAAAAGTTTCTTATCAGATATGTGATTTGCAAATATTTTCTCCCATTCTGTGGGATGTCTTTTCACTTTCTTGGCAGAGTTCTTTGAAGCACAGAAGATTTAAATTTTGATACAGTCCAATTTATCTATTTTGTCTTTTGTTGCTTGGGCTTTTGGTATCATATTTAAGGATTCACTGCCAAATCTGAGGTTATAAAGATTTGCCCATTTGCTTTGAAAGTTTTATTGTTTTAGCTTTAACATTTAAGTCTTTGATCTATTT